GAGAACCGTGTTGTATCAGGCAGTTTAGCAGGAGGGTGTTATCTCCGAGGAAAAACAAGAGGTGCTAATACACGCCTGAATAATGAAGAGAAAATGACTTTGGGAATCAGGAAGTCCTTCACCATTAATGTTGAACAACTCTCAGTGGCTCAAAAGCAATCAAGCAATGGGATTTACAAAAGATTTTAATTTGGATGCATTATCCAAACTCCTCACAGACCAAAAGGCAGGCAATTGTTCCGACAAAAGATATGCACTGATAAGTTTGAAGGTCAACAAGCTGCTGCAGTGGAGATATCAGCAGCTGGTCTGTACCACACACAGTCAAACGCAGTTAAATACAAATACCCTTAATGTATGTTAACACTTTAGAGGTTGTCCAGGTGGCATAAACACCATCAAACTGTAAAACTGTGAGTCTTTTTCACTCCTCATCGAGGTTTACGACCAGTAAAAGCGCTTCTGTTTCATCAAACGTTTGAATGTCGCATGAAGCACGGCTTACGGTTCCCAAAACCACAAAGGAGAAGAGCTAATGATGCCCTATGTGGAGAATAAAAGGGGGATTAATGAACAACACGGGTTTGGAGAAGCTCGGCAGCCGTCGCCCGAACTCTTTACAGTGCATGCGTACACTAGGTGAGAATATTCAGGCTTTCACACGTTGCCACAGTATTGAATGGCCTGTGCCGCGCTTGGAGGAGCATTCTGCTGATGGAATCAAAACCCCTTTCACAGATTCAAATGAGGTGCACTCAGCTGTGATTGGTATTGGAAAAGCATTTGTCGGAACAGAGGCTCACAGAAGGCTTCTTAAATACAAGGCAATCACAGTGTCTAACGCAGAGACGAGGCGAGAGGTGTGCCCGGACTGCAGAGTGGAAAACAGGACAAAGGATTATGATGGTAATAAGCAGTAAACCAAAACAAAGTCATCCCCTGATCCCTCATTCTCTCCCTCTCTTCCTCCCTATCTCTCTCTACCCTAAATCCTCTAACACGCTCCCGCCTCCCCCCTCCCCTCTTCGCATCACATGCACCACATATTGACAGGGCCCATTTTTTCGCAGTGCCTGAGCTACAATTTAAAACTCATTTCTCATTATTTGCGGTGAATCCTTACACACACAATTTCTAATCTGTCGAGGCCATGATGGCTGCTGGCAGAAGCAGAGTGTCTTTATGCAGATGCCCGGCAGTACACCTATATGCAATGTCAACTCCTGCACACCCGGCTGGCCTTATTTTATTACAGGCGTCAGCAAATCTGCATGCCGTCAACTGTGAACCTTTTGTGCTAATGTCTTTTTTTCTCCCCCTTTAGCTGAGCTTGTGGTGTACAGACAGACTGAAGGCATTTTTACACCCCAGTGATAATGTGCTAGTGCGGATCAGAAACTGTTTCTCGCTCGCAAACTTCAAGAGATACGCTGCTCTGACAGACCTGAGATACAGAATCTGTAGGCATGGGCACAGATGATAAGGTGGATGTGGTTGAGCTCCGATGGCTGGGGTTGAGCAGGAGTTTACAAACCCCTAATTTGGCTAGTTTAATGAAAGGTTGTCAGGGCTTCGCTTTATTCCAAAGTGGCTCTCCTCCTACTTTTCCCCACATCTTTTATTGTGTGTGTGTAAGAGAGGTTTAGAAACAGCCATTATTATTCCTGCAAAAAGGGGTTGGCAGCAGAGGAAGGAGAAGAAAAAAGGGGGGAAGATTGTGTCTGGAATTGTCCAAGTGTGGCAGCAGTGGTCCTCAGTCACTTTATCAGTGCCACAGCAACGCTTTTCCTTCCATCTATCTGCCCGGCGACTATTCTTCCCCTCTCTCGGAGCAGGAAAACACTCACTCTCTCACCATGGATGGCTCAACACAATCCCCCCCCGCCACCTATCCTGCTCACGCTGTCTCTACACTCAACATTGCGCTTTGTCTAAATGCTATTCTTTGTGTGTGTGTTTTTTCTATCGCTCAATCCAATCATATTTGTGGAATTGCAGAGCACTGAAGAATTACCACACTTCACCTCCTCTGCACATGCTATTTCTATCTGTTCACTTAGAATCAGGGTTGCGCTTTAAATTACACACCATGTCTAGCTATCGACATGATTTCTTAGACAGGTTTTTTTTTTACTTTCAACCATAATAACTCCCATTGACACTTAGCCTATAAAGCCAATACAACACTCATTCTAGCACCACAGAAAATCCCATTCTCAAGTTTAACACTTAAAGTTTATGTTATATATGTTTATCAGTTAGTTTTTGAAAACTACATTAATTGCTTTTCAAATCAGCAAAGTCATAAATGATATTGGACCCTCTTTTCGCTTAAGTTTCAGATGATATGACACAACACTTTCAGGGTTTTTGACTATTCGCTCTGCTCTTACACTTGGAGTTTGGTTTTGCATACTGTCAAGCAGACGATGCTCAATACTTCATATGATGCACCTGATATAATTGCTTGCTAACGAGGCAATATCAAACCATCTATCCACTGCATGATACATTTTCACTATTAGTGCTCTAATTGACTAATTACTTGAGCCTTTAATTAATGAGCACTTAAGGCAGCAAGCCTTTCATGAACACCAACCTGAAGGGCAATGCTGTCCAATGCAGTGCAGTGTGAAACAAAAAGAAGCATATGGAAAAAGAGCCTAATGTTTTTTAAATTACATCAGATCACTTTAAAAGAAAAGAAAACAAATGTTTACTTTTTACATCTTTGTGTTTTTTCTTGCACTGTTCCTCTTCTCACGCAATGTTGATACAGATTTACATAAATTAAACGTTGATAATTTCATCAATGGCTGTTTTAAGTGACTTTAATACATTCATGCACAGACCTTAGTTTCACTTCAAACTTGTTTGCCATAGCAGTGACAAACTGCATGTCTTTGGGACTGAGAAGCAATCAAGAAAACATTGTTTTTAATGATCTAGGGCAGCGGTTTTCAAAGTGTGAGGCGCTCCTCCCCGGGGGGGCGCCAGAGAGCTTCAGGGGAGGCGCAGCGTGAGAAAAAAATAACGAGAATTTCAGCTAGTTAACTTCAGCTAACTTTATGCGAGCGGCAACATGGATAGATTTTTTGTGAAGTTACCTAAAGTGAGAGAGGAGAAAACGTCACTTGCACACTTTTGGCTGTCTGTGGAGACTGAGTTCCCCCACCTCGCCAAAAAGGCTGTAAAAGTGCTCATTCCTTCACCTCCGCCTGTGTGAGTGCGGGTTTTCCGCATTGTCTTTGATCAAAAGCAAGTACCGGTCAAGCAGGGGCGGATCTACCGGGGTGGCATGGGGTGGCAACTGCCACCCTAAAAATAGCCTTGCCACCCCAGCTGCCACCCCAGCTGGCAGCTTTGTTTTGAAATAAAAGTTGTGGCTCATCGGACATTCATGAGAGAAAATCCCTAATGTCCGAGTGCAAGTGAATGCAGCACAAGACGCAAGCCTTGTAACCCCTCCCCCGGCCCTGGCGCGAGCGTGGAAATGTGATTGGCGGCGATTTAATTTGAATGGGACGGCGCAAAACGAGAAGCATTCGGACCCAAGTAGACGGAAGGAATGAGGTATTTGCGGTCTACAATGACAGAGAAGAGACTGAAGTTTGGCTGTACTCAGCATTGAATCAAAACGCACTAAAGCTGTTGATCTTAATAAGTTTGTGAGGCGTTTTGCTGAACAAGATGGTAATCGCCGCATTCAGCTGTAATAGGCATGCCAACTTGATGCTCTGCTCACGGATGACTCGATGAGCATAACAAACTGTTAAGATGATGACCTTACGTGCGCAAATATATTTTTTTCTTTGTGGGGGTCTGCCCCCAAAAAACAGTTTTAAGTCCTGAGAAAGTCAAATAAGACGGTGTGTAAAACTACACTGCCCAGCCAAAAATAAGTAACCACTTTGATTTAACTAGGCCAGTAGGTAAGGGCATTCCACTGGATAATAATACCCCTGCATTATAGCAACAACAACAATAATAATAATAATAATAATAATAGCAATAATAATTGGGAGGGGGGCGCGGCTGTTCTTATGTTCTCTGAGGGGAGGCTCACCTTCCCACACTTTGAAAACCCCTGATGTAGGGTATCCCATGACATCAAAGTATATCAGAATCAGGTTGCCAAGAAGGTTTATACAAAAAAAGAAATGACACAGTAAAAGGAAAACAAGTTTAAACGAGGACATTTAGAACAAAAATATAAAACAACTTAAAAAATGTTAAAACATTTGAAGAAATGCAGATATATATATAAAAAATAACAAAAAGTATATGACAATTGAATCTGAAAAATAAAGTGTAAAGTATTTCATTTTATGTGCAACATATACAGAGGCGCATAAACATTTTCAGCAGGGCAACAACATGGCATTTATTATATCTGAACAGATTATTAACATCAGTGCATCATGTAATTGCAATCTTCATCACATACCTCTCAACAATCCTGAAGGAGCATTCAGTATACTCTCTTAACCCATTCAGACATCCAGTAATCAATATGAATGGGTTGAATAAACCTCCCTGTTAATGGTTATAATGAGGATGATGATGATGAGGCTGTTCAGTTCAGACTGATGTCTATTGCACTTCACAATCTGAAGATGCACTATGGATTTTGAATGTATATAGGGTCTATTAAGTATCAGAACATTTGTCAAATTCTCATTACCATTCCTTAAGCCAAGATGATGACAATAAATGACAGCTTACTATTTTAGTAGTAGATAATCATTGCCACTGAGAAATTGGAATAAGGCCATACTTAGCATTTACCATATTACTGAATTTGAGCATGCAGCTAAGAAACGTATTCACCATGATTGTCATCTGCTTTTATCAAAACGCTTGTCTCTACTCTTACGTTTTGACAAAACGACTTAGCAAAGAAAACACTCAAACATTAGTCACCAAGTGTGCTTAAATAGATTTTCACAAGTCATTACGTGATTTATTATTACATTACAATTGACTTTGACTCAATGACCATGGGAGCGGCCTGTGCAAAGTCAGAGATGTTTTTTGGCAAGGTGAGTGAAAAGCCTCCCAGTGGGAATGGAGTACACACAGCAGCAGTGTTATCTGTACGTTCACACCATCATGCTGCACAGGTGAGACATAGATGCTTGGTCAGACATAAAGATGAAATAAACCACTAATCCGTGGATCATAGAGAGCTGCCCTTTGTGTCTTCTGAAGACTGAAATAGCTGAGCTCTAAGAAAGATTAGAGAAGAATGAATCTGGCTGTCATCACAAGAGGGAAGAGGTCAAAGTAAAAGACAGGTCAGAATTCAGAGAGGGATGTGATGGGGAGGCCAGAGAGGGAGCTGGAGAGGGGGAAGATGTTTAAGGATTTCTTTGGTTGGGTTGGACAATCTGCCAAAATCTCAATTAAACTGACTGGTATAACAATTGCAATACGAGTTGAGAAATGACACGAAATTATCATTTTTGAAACCGAAATAATTCACATGATCATTATAAATATCTGAATTCTGTGATTTTTTTTTTTTTTTTATAAGGCTATAATATACCGTCTGTAAAGTGGGACTTCTCTGCAGCAACACAATACTTTATTCAGAGTATTCTTATCACATTTTTATCTTTACCACATAATAATAATAATAATAACAAATTATATTTATATAGCGCTTTTCTCTAACTCAAAGACGCTATACAGTCTTTGGGGAGGGTAGACAAACAAGGACAAACAAAAACAACAGAAAAACAACATATTTCGCTTACTGCCAGTGCCATTTGAGTATTTCTCTATCTATTTTGTGATTTGGATGAATTGTGCAGCCTTAGTGTGGATATGCAGTCCCTGATCAGTAGATAAGCATTAGTAGGAGCGGTAATAGTTTTAATGGTTCGGCAGAAAAGACATTTGCAAAAATGACTCATTCTCTTTTTATATTTTGCTCACAAATAGATTAATAGACCAATTTGGTGTTCCTGGAACGGCTAAATGGATAAAAGAAATCTCTCATGTAGTCTTGTTTGAACCCAATTTCAACATCGGGTAAACCGATACACTTCTATGTAAGTATCGATTTTTAACGACCTATTGTAGAACGCTTCTAAAAGTGCAGTGTTGTTTCTCTAAAAATCTACCCGACTACAGTAACTAGTCATTGTTGCACAGAGCGGCACATCAAAACAAGCTAAAACTGGTATAGTGTGATGAGCCTGAGTAGATAATTGATCAGGTTGAAATTACACATGGATTTCTGCAGAGCTTACGCCTGGAAATCTATTGTGCTTCAGGTCATCTATTGGGAATCATAGAGGTATGTAATACAGAAATGGCCGCAGAACACAGTGTTAATAATCTGTTTACACTTCAACCCCCTTTCCATTGATTTCCATTTTCTCCATGCATCACCTGACAGGCGCCACCTCCCCCGAAGGACTTCAGTTAGTTAGGGAAAAGAGCACAGACATTTCAAATAAAACATAACTCATTACACACTGTGTTTTATCATTTTTAGATACTGTTTTTATGTTTGTTGTGGTTGAGCTGTCATCACTATTGAGTGAAACGCCTACATTAGATTCTAAAAATGTTTTACTTATAGATTCCAACTTGTGAAATTGTTTTGTAGCATGTAAACAAGGCACATGAGATACAAATAATATACAATTAAAACTAAAAAAACAAATGTGTATATAGAGTATCTCATTATATTTTCAGTTGAGCCGTTTATTCGATTATGAGTTGTAATATATAGCATATAACAAAACACAAAAAAACTTCAAACAAAGATAGCCAGAGTCATTTATTCAACATAATTCAGAATATGGAGGTTCACATAATAGGCAGTTTGATGTGTGCATTCAATGTTGTATGTGCTGAACTCAATTATTGTACTTTATCTTAGCCCTAAAGGAAAATGTCCAATTGTGTTTTTCTTACTGATATTCAAATTGCAGCTACAATTAAGAATCTTTTGTGTGCCTTTTCACATTCCTGTACCTGTAGTACCTGTTTACTAATGATCTATCCAGGGATCTCTTTCAAAAATGCAAGTAAAACTTAAAAATGGCAAGACTTTTCCATTAAAGAGAGCCATTTAGCTCACCTTTCTCATGATATTCCATAAGTGGCACACTTCACATCATTCAATTCCTTGAAATGTGATCACGACTTTTTGAAATGGCGATATACATAAGTACATTAGCGGCATAATGACGGCTGACGTTTGATACTGCTGACAGCTCTGCATTGTAACCATGGTACTAAAACTAAAGAAAGCTATACAGACTGACAGGAGCAACTGCTGCTTCACAGCCTGAGCTACCACAGCTATGATTTATAGCTTTTAATGTGATAGGCTTACAACAATAATATGATGTACTTAAGAAAAAAGAACGGGCGATCTCGTGAACTCTTTTCACAAACTGCGTCCGTTATGCTCAACGACTTCTCTCTTTACGAGCTGTCTGAAATGATTGTGAGGCAATTAAGATCATTTATGGAGAAAAAGACTTGCTTCACTGTTGGTTCAAACAGCCCACTGCTTATTATACTAAATCAATGTAAATCAAATCATTAAGCAATACTATATTTTATTATAGATTGCTGCTAACATTTCATGCAAGATCTTTTTTGTGTACTTTTTCATGCATATATATTATATTTCCTATGAGAAAATATTCTATTATCCACCCCTCCCATGGCTGCTGTGTGTATATATATATGTGTGTACTTTCCTCCATTCACCTGCACCTTCTTTCATCCATGTGAATGCTGGTGTGTGTGTGTGTGTGTGTGTGTGTGTGTGTGTTTGTGTTTGCGTATCGCTGCAGCTCTGTGTGTCTGCCTGCCTTTTAAAGAGGCTGTGAATGATCTTATTTAGTGAGCGCTGATTGCTGCTTTAACCTGGCGGCCACGCTGGCTGCCGCTGCATTAATAATCTCAGGGAGGCAGGAGAGCTGGCGAGGCCCGCACCTTGTTCACCGCTCGCTCGCTCCCTATCTCCACGGCACCAAGCAAAGAGCCAGCAAACAGCAGGGGAAGTGTGGCGGAAAATTACAGTCTTCACATGCCAGCCAGGAAGGCTGCTGCTGCTGCTACTCGGTGGGGGCCAGAGCTGTGTGAAGAAGACAGAGGAATAGGGAGGACGTCTGAGTGTAGAAAGTGTGGAGGCAGAGTGGTGTGTTTGTGTGTGTGTGTTTCAGGGTGTGTGTCTTCTTTACTTGTGTCCTTACACTTTTGGCTTCTTTGAGATCAGGCTTCAGGATTTGAATCAGAATTCAGTTTAGTAAGGTTATGTTGAGGCTTGGGTTAGGGCTGAACGATTAATCGATTTTAAATCAAAATCGCGATTTTAAATGATGCATTTATCAAATCGCAAAGCCTGTGATTTTTTTTAAACTTTTTTTTTGTTGTCATCCACACCAATCAGAAGTGCTGTGCTCCACATGTGCCAGTCATTGTTAACCAATCAGAAGTGGCCCATGATAGTAGGTGATAGACAGATTGATCCAATCACCTGCCAAGTATTTTTGAAATACTTTTCCAAATGGCTTCCAGTGGAGCTTTCCTAGATGGTTTGGTGAAACAAAGCATCTGAGTCAGGTTAGTAATGCTCCATCACATGTTTTACATCTATTACAGGGTGAGTCTTAAACTGAAGCTTGACTTTAAAAGCAATCCAACGGAAGTTTCATGTAAGTTTAGTTCTTTCACTCGTAGCTCGGGCTGCGGGGTGCTAGAGATGGGAGCACGTTGATGCGACCTTCCTAGCCGGAGATATGGCCGCATTTTACAATAAACTTCCGTTGGGTCGCTTAAAAACAAATATCGCAAATCGAATCGCAATCGCAATATCTGTCAGAAAAATCGCAATTAGATTATTTCCCCAAATCGTGCAGCCCTAGCTTGGGTTTAAGGTTAGTTTTCCAATTAAGACATTTAAGAATGAATGTAGCCAGTGTGTATGTGAGTATTTGAACTGTGTCTTTTTCACTTTTGTCTTCACATTTTTGTCTTCTCTTTTGTGAAGAAGCCACTTTGAGATCAGGCTTCTGGGTTGGAATCAGGATTCTGTTTCCTTCCTTTAGTTAGTCTGTATTTAGACTTTTGTTTAAGGTTACTTTTCCTTCTCCCTATCCCTAAATTAAGAACTCAACTGAGGATGAATGTGGCCAGTGTATCTGTGTGTGTGTTTGAGTGTGTGTCTACTTTTTACTGTGTCTTCACACTTTTGGCTCCTCTTCTTGAAGACAATACTTTGAGATCAGGCTTCGGGTTTGAATCAGGATTCTTTAGTTTCAACTCAGGCTTGGGTTTAAGGATTCATCTTCAATCAAGAACTTGTATAAAAATAAATGAAGCCACACACGCATGAGTGTGTGCACATTGGTGTTTGTTTCATTTTGCCTCTTTGATCTTTTTTGTAACTGATTTGCATGCTCTGGTACCCTCCCATAGGCCAGAGACATGCAGGTTAGGTGCTGGAAACTCTGAATTGTCTGTAGGAGTGGATGTGAGTGTGAATGTATTCCTATTCCTAGCCGTGAAATAGAGGACATGTCCAGGGGTGCCGACCTTCATTCCCACACTATATATATATATATATAGAAAATATACGGTTGTTGTGTATGTAAATGAGTGGGTGTGCATGTATTTATGTGTGGCAAGGGTGAGAAAGAGGTAAAGCAACACAGCAAATGGCAACAAAGCAGTCGCCATCAGACCTCCCTTGTGTCAATATTAACTAGACGGGTGGAAACTGCTGCCCTTTTTAAGCGTGGCCAACAATTCCGTCTTTCAGTCCAGTCCAGACGACATTTTGATTGGTTGTGTGAAGATTAAAGCTTCGCTCTCACTGCCAGGGAGAACAGTATAATTGATATTTCAGCTCTGGGCAAACTTGCCTCTCGCAGGCCAGTGGCTGTTTCAGCAGAAAATTAATGTTAGCACAGCTTGGCGGCAGAACGGTCGGCATGTTTCAGGAAATATACTTTGAGTTGGGTCTCTCTGCTCCACTGGCTTCTGCTGCAACTCTCTGTGTGTGAAATGAACATCTTATGTCGGGGAAATGCTTACTGTGTGTGTGTGTGTGTGTGTGTGTGTGTGTGTGTGTGTGTGTGTGTGTGTGTGTGTGTGTGTGTGTGTGTGTGTGTGTGTGTGTGTGTGTGTGTGTGTGTGTGTGTGTGTGTGTGTGTGTGTGTGTGTGTGTGTGTGTGTGTGTGTGTGTGTGTGTGTGTGTGTGTGTGTGTGTGTGTGTGTGTGTGTGTGTGTGTGTGTGTGTGTGTGTGTGTGTGTGTGTGTGTGTGTGTGTGTGTGTGTGTGTGTGTGTGTGTGTGTGTGTGTGTGTGTGTGTGTGTGTGTGTGTGTGTGTGTGTGTGTGTGTCAAATGTACATATCTATGCCAAGATGTTGCGATGCAATTCAAGGTGTCAAGAACACTTCAAAGAGGAATACAACTGGAGTCAAAGTAGGATTGTATCACTCCCAGTGCTCCTTAGTAATATCAAGTTGCTCAACAATGAGGGGCATCTCTTGTCTACTTCATTAACACATGTATAATGCAGCAGTCTGAAGAACATAAAACTCGACCTAGCATGAAACGGCGCCGGAGTTCTCGTTCCGATAGCACCCTCATGCTGCACTTGTCCTGAATGGGCCATTAAAGTGGACACAGGGGATTAGGCAGATGATGGCAGCCGAGGTCCTCATATTGGTGCAGTGTGACTCGGACCACATTAACACGACATTAGTCTCATTTCCATTCCGACGGCGTGCACTTCCACACACTGGAGAGCGACCGAAGTCATTGTGACCCTCACGCTCCAGCCTTTCATTTCCTGTCGCCATTCAACGCTTCCTTATCTCTCTGTTCTCCCATTTTCCTTCTTGCCCTTTTTCTCTACTGTCTGTCTTTTTTTTTCTTTCTCTCCGTCCTTGCCCACCCCATTCTCTCCCCTCCATCTCCCTCTCTCTCTTTCTTCCCTTCCTGTTCCACATCAGCGGCTGGGTGAAGCCTCTCCCCGTCATGCTTGGCCGCACTCCCCTTAATTACCATGTATTCTTCTTAAGCTAATAAAAAACGCTGATGAAACCGATTACATGGCAGCAGGGCTTTGTGTGGAGCTGGATTTAGGCACGGATGGAGAGTGAGAAAAGAATAGAGGAAAAGGGGGACATTGAAAAAAGAGATAAAAGGAAGGAGACAGTAGGGGAGTAGCGACATATAAAAAAATACTGCAGACAAAGGAGGTGAGAGATGTAAAATAGGGAAGAGAGGAAGGGAGGAGACGGAGAGAAAGACGGAGGCTGAAAGGAATGGAAACGATGGATGGAAATGGAAAAGAAAATAGGAAGGTTTGGGCAGTAACCCGTTTGTTGTCTTTGTTGTTGTTTGGGTCAGAGATGCTTTAGGCCCTGAGGGAACTTCCTCATCTTATCACAGTGAGCAGACGGCTGGCACATCTTTCTCATTACGAGCCTCTCAGTTATAGATTACTCCTGCCTTACTCCTCTCCCCAGCCACAGGCAGTCTCTGTTACAGTCTACAGAGCTACGCTTGCACCAAACACAGTTTGAACTCCTGAATATAGACTTTGCCTTTTTCTTTCCCTTTCATGAGCATTAACTCACTCTCTCTGTGCATGTAATCGTTGTTTCAACTGCGACCAACTGTGGCTCGGAGGAGAAAATGAATTAAGGTTTCTTGGTTGATTGAAAAGGCTTCAGAGAAGAGCTGGTAGCTGCTTCATGATACACTCTTTCTCTTTGCATTACACTGGCTCCCTGCTCAGCTGGATGAAGTAGGGCTGTTTTAGTTTCAAACGTCATGCATTGCGATTGTGTGTAAGACTTTAAGTTCCAATAAATGCAAAAAAAAACAAACAGCAGAGAAATATCTCAGCTTGCAGCAATGTTTGTGAAGCTGTTGAAATCCCCAAAACTTTGCTAATGTGATTGAACACAAGCGTGAAAAGTTGTTCTCCTTATTTGCTCCCTGTAATGAAGTTGCTGCTACAATAAAGTGATCCAAAAGTTGGGGAAATTGTTAATACTGAAAAAAATATATAATGTATGGAGAAAACCAAACCATTTCAGAATCAGAAACATGTTTATTGCCAAATAGGTTAACACATGCGAGGAAGTTGTCTTGGTGTTATGGTGCATACATATACTGTACATACATACATACATACAAATAAAACGAAAATAAGACAACAATTGGAACCGTGATAAAGTATTTTAAGAAAACTATGATAACATAAAAAATATAGCAATATTTACATTGCATTTCTGATGGCTATTATTATTATTATTATTATTATTATTATTATTATTATTATTATTATTATTATTATCATTACCCTTATTATTATTATTATTCAATATTGGAATGTAACTTTACATTTAATCAAGTGCTGTACTTAAGTAAAAAAATACTTTACTTGAGTAATTTTACTTTACGTACATTTTTACTCCACTACATTGATTTTACATATTTGGTTACTAGCTACTTTGAAGATTTAAAATATTAACCAACTAATACATTATCATATCTTATTATAGGTGAAGGTCATATAAACCCCACTTTAACCAAGTGCATCAATAAGGTGATGAACACATTCATGTGTCAGTAATTATTATACAATCATTTTAAATACATAGTGCTTAAATGATACCCATGATATTCAACCATGGTATTTAAAATAGTTGAAACATGAACATGTTACATATGATAATATTATGTATAAAATCCAGCTTCTCTACAAACCCATCCCTATAATTGAGTTAGAGCATAAACTAAGACCTTTGTTCCCACTGTGAGAGCAATTCTCTGTGTGCATATCTGGAGCCATTAGCAGCAGCAAAGTGCCGCCGTCAATGCACACAAATGCCCTGGAACAAGCTGTGCCATTACGGTTTGTTGTCCTATTTCATGACCCCTTTTCAATGAATACGGAAGCCCTGTGAGGCATCCGCCACATTTACATGTTAATGTTGGCAATTTGTAAACATAAATTGAAAATGTCAGAAGCTCAATAGCTAAATGGAGATAAGTAAACACATTATTGAAACGCTGTGGCCACTTAAAGTTGGACACCCATTACATAGAAAATACGAAAATTATTAGGAGAAGGATGAGGAGGAGGTAAGAGGAGGAGGAAGAAGACAAAGGGGAATAAGAAAGGGGAAAAAAAAGAGGGCAGGGGCGCTTTAATTCGCACAGCACGTACTTGCCGAGGGGGTGAGACGATTAGGTTTGTGATGAGAGGCAGCAGTGTGACGGAGAGGGCATGGGGGGTGTCAGGATGAGCGAGGATGAGGGAGATGAGAAAGAGAGAAGTATTATCTTGCTGTGCTTTCACAATCCTGCACGGGCACACATTTATACGTGTAGATACATTCAAACGCACCTACATCATATTGTGCATGGTCATGCCCACGTGCACACACATATGCACATTTTGTTCAAACTTTCTATTACTTTCTCTTTACCGCACGCACACACGCACGTGAACACAGTCAGTGGAGAAGAGGAGTCAATGCAGTTGGCACCTGGTTCCCCTCTCTGCACACACATTCATCACTCAGTCGTGGGCCTGACAGAACCCTCTGGCCCACAGGCCATGGCTCCACACACACACCAACTACACACACTGTTACACTTTCACACACACACATACACGCAGACGGGAGAAGTAGAAGACATCAGCAGTACCATCAAGCAACAAAGCTGCCCACAGGCCTGTGAGCTGCACATAAACACACTTATGTTGTTCCACACTGTCAAAAACACATTTTCCAAGATGCCTCAGAACCTTTAGATTAATCACCTACTTGTAGGTATGGAATACTAATATGCATTAGGTGTTAAAAAAGGTTTGTGATTTAAAGGAAAAGTTTGTGAACTGTTTTTGACTTTTTTGGGGGAAATACACTTATTTGCGTTGCGTAGAAGGTTGGATTCAAAGATTATAATTGCTTTAGATATATTTTTTGGAAAATATAAGAGTAAAGAAGACTGGAAGCAGTGAGGACACATCTTACCTGTCTCCGTCTTGAGGTAACAAAATCCAGCTACAAGCATCTCTAAAGTTTAATCTACAGAGCACTTTATCTGTTGAGTTAAAAATATCTTGATCTGGCTTAGCCACACATTTAGAGTACATATTTGACACTTAGGGGTGGGGGAACTATTTGTTCACATAAGATATGTAATTGTTACCCTTTATGGTTCATTCATTTAACGTTATGAAGTTATATTGACATCATTTAAAGGGTGAAAGTCTCCTGCAAGTGCACAGTGCAGCACACATATGGTATTCTAATATATTCCCGTCTCACACAGAACAAGAACCTGCAGGCACTGTCTGCGTACCTCTTCTATGGTGATGGACACACTCACATTCATCACATATCACACTCTCTATATCAGGGGGGTCAAACATAAGGCCCACGGATGCCTTTGCAAAGTGTAGAAATGACAGAGAAGACGTGTATGTATTTTGTATGTATACATTTACAAGGCAGGGGGATAGATGAACCTACTTCCTGAATAGTTCCCACTTTAGTTTGTATTGTGGTGTGTCAGGATTACTACACAGATGTGGAAATTAATGTAAAATAATTACTAGATCCTGACAAGTTGTTTTGATCATAAAGTAAATAACTATATTGTTTATTTCCATACAGTGTTGTAGTCAAGTCACCAATTCACGAGTCCAAGTCACTCTCGAGTCACCACTCTTTGAGTCCGAGTCCAAGTCCGAGTCACCCAAGGAGTGTCCGAGTCGAGTCCGAGTCCGAGTCATCATTACCTGTGTTCGAGTCCGAGTCATCGTGCGCGAGAATTCACGAGTCCAAGTCCGACTCTGGTTCCATATACCTGTGACTAAATGTTTTGTAGATACACTGTGATCTGTAAGTAATGCACATGTGTAAATGATAAACTGAGGCATAGTTTAAATGGCCCTTATTTTCTCAATATTTACTGGTCCGGGCCATAGAGATCAAATGTGTCTGTACGCTGCTCAATATCCTCTTCATTGGTCTATTTCATATCATTTCAGGTGTCCCTCCTAAAGAGTCCAGCTTTCTGATCAATGCTCTCCTTCTTCAACACTACAAGCGTGGTGCCTACTACTCACAGGGGGGCGCCAGTGAGTTTGCCTTCCACATCATCAATGTCATTGAGAAGGCGGGCGGTGCTGTTCTCGTCAGGGCTCCGGTACACCGCGTCCTGCTCAACCGGCAGAACAAGGCCTATGGTGGGAAAAGAGTTGCAGACGAGTTCTGGAATGCAGTTGCTTTTTTGAATGAGACCGTGCAAAGGTTGACCTGTTCATGGAGCTCATGAGACATTCTTTCACACTTTTATCAGTCTTCTAAGCAGAGCTATGTCTTTTTGGGCTCCAAGCCAGAACAGAGATTGAAAGTCGGTTGCATCACTTCCCGCTTTGTTTTCAAAACACTCAAGTGTTGATCATTTTGTTTGGTACTTTCCCTTTTTTGCACTTGCCTGCTTTTTAGTTTTGTGTTTTTGTAACCAGCTTTGATTTGATAAAGCTCGATTTTGGTTTTTCATACCTGCCTCCCCTTTTTTGAACTGCTTTTAAGGCCTTATTTCCTTACCCTTGGTGCTTTAAGGCTGAAACATGCACTGATGTTATTTTTTCCGTATGATTAACACTTTGTGTGTGTGTGTCAGGTGTGACGGTGCTCAAAGGACAAGAAGAGATTGAGGTCCATGCCCCTGTTGTCATTTCTAATGCTGGCATTTTCAACATATTCGAGAAGTTTCTACCTCAGCCCATACAGGAGAAACCAGGTAACACCGCTTTATCACTGCAGCCACTAAATAAACTGTACATTGCACTGCTTTCTTTTTCTACTGCATATTTTCTGTAATTTGTAAATGTGTGTTTGTGTGTGTGTTAGGGATGCCAGCGATTATTCGATTATTCGAATATTCGTTACAGTCTCCATAATCGAAGATTATTTTTAAAATTCGATTTTATTTATATATTTTTTTATTAATATTTATGTTTTTTTTTCCTGGTTTGGTTTCAACCAAAATATAGACTAATGCTAATAATAGTAATAGTATTAATAATTGTAAATGACCATTGATCACACCACCAGTTTGTTTTACTGTAAACTTGGAGGAAGCCAGCAGCGCAGAGTGCAGACTGCTGCTGCAGCCTGCTACACACCGACATTTTGATCATGGTCAGTTTCTGGCATCCCTAGTGTGTGTGTAGAGATCCAGTCACTGTTGGGTTTGGTGCGCCATGGCATGGGTTCCTTCTTGGTCTTTGTTGGTCTGGATGGAACCAAAGAGGAGCTGGGCATCGTTTCCACCAACTTTTGGATGTATAAAGACAATGACTTGGACTCACTGTACGCCACTTATAGCCAACTTGAAGATCATACCTTATTGGCTTGTTAACTTCCTGGTTCGAACCTGTTAGGATTATGTTTTAAACAGGACCCAGGCGCAGACAATGACTGAAGATGTTTAAATGGTTTATTGTTTGGAGACTCAGGCAGGTTTGGAGACTATGGAGGTCCGGAGTGGAGGTAGGCAGTTCAGGCTGGACTGAGAACAAGGCAGGCAGGTATGGTGAAGGAAGAAGCAGGCAGTTGGCTGGAAGCTCTGGTGGCTGATGGCTGAGGGATCGCACAGGAAGCACAAGGAGAAACTAATTACAAAAAGTACAGAATAACACGCAGACAGGATAACTGAATTGAGCAGCCAGGAGGATGCAATACCACTGGTGTAGAAAACAATCTGGCGGTGAGTTGCTGGGAGACTGGAGTAGATATGCTGTGTCCTGATTGGATTGATGAGGGACAGCTGAGTCGGTCGGCCAGGTGAGTGCAATCAGGCTGCTGCCTGCAAGGGAAACCACACCCCCTCCACCCTCACACAGGGGAACAAACAGGGGGTGTTTCTCAATCGCGAGTAAAGCTGCTTCAAAGCCACTATTTCAAGCATACTACGTCATCGAGTGCCGCCGAAGTACTGTTCCAATCTCCAGTATACTTGGAAATCTACCGAGCCCGGCGTACTCCGTTTGGAGAAATATCGAGTCTGCACATGAGTAGACTTCGCGGTCTTAAAATCCCCACAATGCTTTGCGCACCGACCAATTTCCCCAAATCTGTGGCGGAAGATGTAAGGCGGGGCCTCTCATATGACGCACACCTGCACACTTGCTAGCGTGTTCCACTCTTTGTTTTCCGAATGTCAGGAAGTATTCTTGACTCGCTTCTGAAGCAAGATGCTCGGCAGACATGTGCTACCAAGCAAGCGTACTCGCGATTGAGAAACACCCAAAGAGTGGAACACGCTAGCAAGTGTGCAGGTGTGCGTCATATGAGAGGCCCCGCCTTACATCTTCCGCCACAGATTTGGGGAAATTGGTCTGTGCGCAAAGCATTGTGGGGATTTTAAGACCGCGAAGTCTACTCATGTGCAGACTCGATATTTCTCCAAACGGAGTACGCCGGGCTCGGTAGATTTCCAAGTATACTGGAGATTGGAACAGTACTTCGGCGGCACTCGATGACGTAGTATGCTTGAAATAGTGGCTCTGAAGCAGCTTTACTCGCGATTGAGAAACACCCACAGTTTGGGCCGTGACAGAACCGGCCTGTTGGATCGCATATCTTCAGTGTTCAGCCTAGCAACAACCAGCCATTCAGAAATGATGTCCCGTCTCACACAGAACAAGAACCTGCAGGCACTGTCTGCGTACCTCTTCTATGGTGATGGACACACTCACATTCATCACATATCACACTCTCTATATCAGGGTGGTCAAACATAAGGCCCACGGGATGCCTTTGCAAAGTGTAGAAATTACAGAGAAGACTTGTATGTATTTTGTATGTATACATTTACAAGGCAGGGGGATAGATGAACCTACTTCCTGAATAGTTCCCACTTTAGTTTGTATTGTGTTGTATCAGGATTACTACACAGATGTGGAAATTAATGTAAAATAATTACTAGATCCTGACAAGTTGTTTTGATCATAAAGTAAATAACTATATTGTTTAGTTCCATATACCTGTGACTAAATGTTTTTGTAGATACACTGTGATCTGTAAGTAATGCACATGTGTAAATGATAAACTGAGGCATAGTTTAAATGGCCCTTATTTTCTCAATATTTACTGGTCCGGGCCATAGAGATCAAATGTGTCTGTACGCTGCTCAATATCCTCTTCATTGGTCTATTTCATATCATTTCAGGTGTCCCTCCTAAAGAGTCCAGCTTTCTGATCAATGCTCTCCTTCTTCAACACTACAAGCGTGGTGCGTACTACTCACGGGGGGCGCCAGTGTGTTTGCCTTCCACATCATCAATGTCATTGAGAAGGCGGGCGGTGCTGTTCTCGTCAGGGCTCCGGTACACCGCGTCCTGCTCAACCGGCAGAACAAGGCCTATGGTGGGAAAAGAGTTGCAGACGAGTTCTGGAATACAGTTGCTTTTTTGAATGAGACCGTGCAAAGGTTGACCTGTTCATGGAGCTCATGAGACATTCTTTCACACTTTTATCAGTCTTCTAAGCAGAGCTATGTCTTTTTGGGCTCCAAGCCAGAACAGAGATTGGAAGTCGGTTGCATCACTTCCCGCTTTGTTAACCGCTTTTCAAAACACTCTAGAAATTGTTACTAGGCTAGAACCAAAACAAAAATGAGGCACCAGTTTTCAAGCATTTTTTGGAGTTGGGTGAACTTCTGCATTTTTAGGAGTTGGTTAAACTTACCAATATTGTCATTATCTTAGTTTGTTACACCTGTTTCCTTTATTTTCTAATTTTCTTGTCTGCTTTTACTTCCTGTCTTTGTAATTGTTGATTCCTTCCACCTGTGTGTGATCTCCAGCTTTGTTAATGTTATAAGTATACTGTTCCTATATATGTTTAAGTGTTGATCATTTTATTTGGTACTTTCCCTTTTTTGCACTTGCCTGCTTTTTAGTTTTGTGTTTTTGTAACCAGCTTTGATTTGATAAAGCTCGATTTTGGTTTTTCATACCTGCCTCCCCTCTTTTGAACTGCTTTTAAGGCCTTATTTCCTTACCCTTGGTGCTTTAAGGCTGAAACATGCACTGATGTTATTTTACGTATGATTAACACTTTGTGTGTGTGTGTCAGGTGTGACGGTGCTCAAAGGACAAGAAGAGATTGAGGTCCATGCCCCTGTTGTCATTTCTAATGCTGGCATTTTCAACATATTCGAGAAGTTTCTACCTCAGCCCATACAGGAGAAACCAGGTAACACCGCTTTAGCACTGCAGCCACTAAATAAACTGTACATTGCACTGCTTTCTTTTTCTACTGCATATTTTCTGTAATTTGTGTGTGTGTGTGTGTGTGTGTGTGTGTGTGTGTGTGTGTGTGTGTGTGTGTGTGTGTGTGTGTGTGTGTGTGTGTGTGTGTGTGTGTGTGTGTGTGTGTGTGTGTGTGTGTGTGTGTTGTGTGTGTGTGTGTGTGTGTGTGTGTGTGTGTGTGTGTGTGTGTGTGTGTGTGTGTGTGTGTGTGTGTGTGTGTGTGTGTGTGTGTGTGTGTGTGTGTGTGTGTGTGTGTGTGTGTGTGTGTGTGTGTGTGTGTGTGTGTGTGTGTGTGTGTGTGTGTGTGTGTGTGTGTGTGTGTGTGTGTGTGTGTGTGTGTGTGTGTGTGTGTGTGTGTGTGTGTGTGTGTGTGTGTGTGTGGAGATCCAGTCACTGTTGGGTTTGGTGCGCCATGGCATGGGTTCCTTCTTGGTCTTTGTTGGTCTGGATGGAACCAAAGAGGAGCTGGGCATCGTTTCCACCAACTTTTGGATGTATAAAGACAATGACTTGGACTCACTGTACGCCACTTATCGCCACCTTGAAGATCATACCTTATTGGCTTGCTAACTTCCTGGTTCGAACCTGTTAGGATTATGTTTTAAACAGGACCCAGGCGCAGGCAATGACTGAAGATGTTTAAATGGTTTATTGTTTGGAGACTCAGGCAGGTTTGGAGACTATTAGACCCTCCAGAAAAACGCGGGCTAAAATCCTTGATTATGCGGGCTAAAATCCTTGATTATGCGGGCTAAAATCCTTGATTATGCGATTAAACATGCAGGGTTTTTATGTGATTTTATGCGGTAAAGTTGCGAAATATGCGGAAATATGCGAAAAGTTGCGAAATATGCGGGAGGCGGAAAAAAGGTGATTCTTCTCCCACACCCTGTTACTAGGCTACTACTGAATGAAAGTGAGCCCTTTTAAAGAGTTCCTATGATAAACAAGCATACTAGAAGCAAGCTACATCACAACGTGTTATTTATGTATTTATATATGGGCTATTTTAATCACTCTCTCACACACACACACACACACACACACACACACACACACTCTCTTCTCCGCCTCATTCTGTTTTCATTTACTCGTTCGTTATCTGACCAGCTTCAATCTTGTAGGCTACTCACCTCGTTTCTTGTAGCCCTCGAAAGGGTTTTGGAGGTTGATGCCTCGGTGAACGTGAGTTGGTTCAAGGTTCAAGGTTCTTTATTGTCAATCTGACATAGTTACAGAGTAATTATGTAGTTGAAAATCTTATGTCACAGGCTTCTCCAACAATGCAACATAATAACATAATAACAATAAGAGCAAGAGCAATACAAAAAGAATAATAGTTATAAAATAAAAAAGTGGGTCGTCACCGTCGATTTTCTCTTATGCTCCAACACACAGTTGCACGGGGTGCAGAATAGTTTCCCCCCACTTTCATGCAAGACATCGGGGTACTGCTTTGCCCGGTCTTTATCAGAAATGTTCGTAGGCAAATGAGATGGATTCGATTTTTTCATCTTGGTCAGAGCCGTATAATAGTATAATAGTATAATAATAATAGTATATAATAATCTATATGGCGCTGATCTTGTTGTTTTCTCTCTCGTGTGAGTTCCACACATTCACTCTACGGTGTTGTTTACCTGCGCGAGCTGATGACATCACTACTTCACGTTAACTTTTTTTTCCCTCAACTTTGTGTGGAAAAATGCGGGGATTATGCAACCTTTTAATAAATATGCGCCCTTTTAAAAATCTGCGCCATTTTGCTGATTATGCGGTAAATTATGCGATCGCATAATCGCGTTTTTCTGGAGGGTCTAGACTATGGAGGTCCGGAGTGGAGGTAGGCAGTTCAGGCTGGACTGAGAACAAGGCAGGCAGGTATGGTGAAGGAAGAAGCAGGCAGGTTGGCTGGAAGCTCTGGTGGTCGATGGCTGAGGGATCGCACTGGAAGCACAAGGAGAAACTAATTACAAAAAGTACAGAATAACACGCAGACAGGATAACTGAATTGAGCAGCCAGGAGGATGCAATACCACTGGTGTAGAAAATAATCTGGCGGTGAGTTGCTGGGAGACTGGAGTAGATATGCTGTGTCCTGATTGGATTGATGAGGGACAGCTGAGTCGGTCGGCAAGGTGAGTGCAATCAGGCTGCTGCCTGCAAGGGAAACCACACCCCCTCCACACACACACAGGGGAACAAACAGGGACACACAGGGGGTGTTTCTCAATCGCGAGTAAAGCTGCTTCAGAGCCACTATTTCAAGCATACTACGTAATCGAGTGCCACCGAAGTACTGTTCCAATCTCCAGTATACTTGGAAATCTACCGAGCCCGGCGTACTCCGTTTGGAGAAATATCGAGTCTGCACATGAGTAGACTTCGCGGTCTTAAAATCCCCACAATGCTTTGCGCACCGACCAATTTCCCCAAATCTGTGGCGGAAGATGTAAGGCGGGGCCTCTCATATGACGCACACCTGCACACTTGCTAGCGTGTTCCACACTTCGTTTTCCGAATGCCAGGAAGTATTCTTGACTCGCTTCTGAAGCAAGATGCTCGGCAGACATGTGCTACCAAGCAAGCGTACTCGCGATTGAGAAACACCCACAGGGACACCTGATATTGTCAGCCAGTGCAGTGCGCAGGATTGTGAAGGTGACGGCTGTTTCTAGCCCAGCATCAGCCCATGCCCTCTTCAAGTGAGCGTTTAGGTTCTTGGAGGCCAAAATCCCCGTTGTGAAAAGAGAATTCATTCTGAGGACCCAACAATGCCTCTTTAATCCCCATCCACCGCATGGCCCAGCTAAACTCCTTTACTGTAAGCGCCAGCTGTGCTTCGCCAAATGTCTTGGCCGTCTTGTGATCCTGCACATGGATGATGTAGCCCTCAGCAGTTCCCTGGCTGACAATATCAAGCATCACCAAGATCCAGAAAGCCGGTCGATTCTCGCCAGGTTTATGTGTCACGACGTAACCACGGCTGACCGGTTCTACGCGAATGCGCCTGGAATAAAGGAGGCATTGAAAATCCGCTCCATGTTCAGGGCGTCATCGGTTGCGGCAGCAGCTGCATCAGCATCAGAAGGATGTCTACCGCTGTCAGATGGGGATACCTCCAAAGAGGGCTCCGGGGCTGAGAGCAGCAGACAAGACCCCAACGATACCTCTTCTTCAGAGCATGAGCAACCTGATGGGTCTGAAATAAACAGAGTGCCACTGTTATGGAGACATGCTGGAGGTCTCTAGTCCGTCTTTTGGGGGTCTGTGAGCCGCATTATGAGGCACACTTTTCGGATACTTTAGGTCTGTCACTTAGGGTAACCGCACCACTAATGTACATCTCCCGAGAGTGGACGTCCAATATTCGTAAGGCCTCTAAAGCGGGGTAGCAATCCATTATGACAGCCTTGTTAGGCTCCCTGAGGTCTGTACACATCCTTATTTTAGATGAGTTCTTTCGTTGAATCACAACGATCGGTGATACCCAGGGAGAGGCATCTATTTTTTCAATGATGTCAGCATCAAGAAGGTGCTTTAACTCTGCAGAAACAGCATCTCTGACTGAGAATTTCTGCTGCACAGGCTTCACATCATCTTTCACTTTGTGTACAACGTTCCTAACACAGCCCATAGGTAAAGCTGTATTAACAGATGCAGATGCACTAGGTGTCTGTGTAGTAGGAGTTGCAGGTGGGGTTGTTATCTCTCTGACTGTCTGCTCTGACTTCAGTACCACTCTGTTTCTCATGATGACCATTTCCAGTGCCTCAAACAGGTCCAGGCCCAGCAGTATTGAACCTGACTTCACAATGAAAAGGGTAGCTGAGGCAGTATTTCTACACAGAAGTTTCCACCACACTGTCAACCATGATACATCTGTTCGGATTCTTTAGAAGATAGGAAAGGAGCTTCAATGGCCCATAACTTTGACCCAGTTTATCAGTTCATACTGTCCTGACTGAGCACACGCACCTGTAACCTTGGCTGCTGTGCTCTCAGTGTTTTGACTGCCTGTTCCTGCCTGTTGGTGTCAGCTGATAGAGGTGTTATGATTATATCTTGTTCTGCACAATGTTGATTATTCTCTCTGAACTAGCTAAATACATGGGTCTGGGGTAGAGTTCTTCAGAATTGACGTGGAGTGAATAGCCCCGTTTCAGCGTCCTGTCCATCCACTTTGTTAGTACACAGCTGAGTTTCCATTCCCCATAACATTGTGTTAATGGACAAGCCCTCAGCTGTGGGGCAGCAGCTATCAAGCTGTGATACTCTCTGGCGACCCGTTCTGCCGCAAAACTCCCCGTGAAGGGAAGATAGATTTGCCCATGGAGGGTCGACACAGAAAGGGCCAATTATTTACCGAGGCCCCTGAACGCACCGCCGCGCGCTCCTGTGTGAGCGCGCGCTCCACCATAATGCTGCTCTCACCACTACGGTAAACAGCATTAATCGGAGTCTTTATTGGCGTAGTGTGTTCCCTGACAGTAATACGCCGGCCATAATGTCCCTGTACCCGCATAGTACCATGATAGTACTGCCTGCGGTTTATCACTCTCATCTGCGCACTCCCACTAGCCACCTCCTTTACAGGAGCTATTGGGGCGGCGAGTGGGGAATTTGTACAGTCATCATTATGTGTAATTGTAGCATTGTGGAAACAAAGGACACTTAAACTTGGATACAGATCAACTTTTTCTTTATTTTTAAAGGTTTTTAGTGGAATCTGTGCATCAAATAGGGAGGAGGCGGGATTCGCCCTCGCGTCCCGGGCGGAGAGATTCTCTCCCCCCGCCGAGACGCTTCCTCCCCCCGGCCAGTCAGCTTCGGGCATACGGAGCACCCCACCCGGCCGCTCTCTGCTGCTGAGGAGCCTGCCGAGGTCGGGCAGCCCGTCCCCGTGATTGCCGGTACGCCCGTACCACGGGGT